ATAAAATAAGATTAAAAATACATTTAAAAGAATCCTAGTATAATAATTGAGGGACTTCATGAGCCACGTCAGAACTGCAAAACACACGTATCCTGGCCTTAACACTAGAGAGAACAGCCTATAGCAGGGGTATCAAATTCAAGGCCCAAGGGCTGGATTCGGCCCATGGGGCTACCCTGGAAACAGCGAAGGACCAACCCACAGTGCTTCTGCCCACGCGGCCCTCACAACACTGGTGGATTTCAAAAATTTTTTACTCCCGGAATGGGAGATATATTATCAAGCAGCATACCTAACATGGTTGAAAGAAAGGATGGAGCTGAGAAGTAAAAGAATATTAATAATTGAAGGGCATGATCTACAAGTAGGATGGCAGGCATTCCTGTGGGATGAGAAATATAAAATACACGAATACTTCAGAAGGCACATTCTCAGGAATGCACTGCTATCAATTTGGATTAAAATAAAAAAAAACCCAACATTATACAAAAATACCGATCTGGATCTCTCCTACTGAAACACTAACACATCCAAATTTAATATATTGGACTAAGATAATCAGATATAGGGATATTCTAAATGATTTGGGAAAACTAAAAGCAAAACAAGAATTGGAACAGGATTTGAACAAGGAAATTGAATGGTGGACATACTCACAAATTTGGTCAAAATATAAAGAAGATACAAAGACGAATGAGGTACAATTGGAGCAAAATGAATTGGATAAAATTATACATGGGACGGACCAGAAATTAATTAGCAAAATATACAAATTCTTATTACGGTATAAAATGGAAGAGGAAATAGTTGATCCTATTAAGAAACCATGATCAAGTGGGCAAGGAACTTCAATCACACAGTAGAATTAGAGAAGTAGGAAAAGATGTGGTGAATAAATATGAAACTAACATTATCTACGGCATAGAAGGAAAACCAGTGGAAGATGTTCTATAGATGGCATTTACCACCGGCCAGAATAGCCAACATGATTTTGAGCAAATCCCCAGTATGCTGGAAATGCAAAAACAATTATGGAACATATTACCATCTCTGGTGGACTTGTCCAACGGCAAAGAAATTTTGGGCCAAAGTCAAAAAATGGCTAGAGAAAATAATGCAACAATCAATAAAGGGAGAACCAGAGGCTTTTTTGCTAGGGATCTTTACAGAAAATTATACAAAGGAAATAAAATATTTAATATTACATATATTAACTGCTGCCCGCATAGTTTATGCCCAAAATTGGAAAAAAGAAAATACACCAACAGAGGAGGAGTTGATAAAAAATTTTTTGGAATGCACAGAGATGGATAAATTGTCAAAATAACTCAAAGAAAAAGAGGATACAGAATACTATAAAATTTGGTATAGATGGTATGAGTGGTTGGAGGAAAGGAAAAATGAAGAAGAAAAATAAGGGGCAGTTAAAGAAATGTCAAAAACAATGGGAAAAATTGGTAAAATACAATTTAGTGATTGAAATGAAAAAGAGAAATATATTGTGAATGAAATGATGGGGACAGATAGTAATATGGAATAAGATGAAGTAAAATTTGTGGAAATAGTAAATAATAAGGAAGGATCACTATGAAAAAGCTGTAAAAAGAGTCTTGTATATAAGTGTTGTATGTCTTGTATTGTTTTACTGTGTTATAATAAATAAACTTTTTAAAAAATTTTTTACTACCGGTTCTGTGGGTGTGGCTTGGTGGGCATGGCATGGCTTGGTGGGAGTGGCTTGGTGGGAGTGGCATGGGAAGGATGCTGTAAAATCTCCATTCCCACCCTATTCCAGGGGAAGGTTACTGCAAAATCTCCATTTCCTCCCAATCAGCTAGGACTTGGGGGGCAGAGAATAGATGGGGGTGGGGCCAGTCAGAATTTTTACTACCAGTTCTCCGAATTACTCAAAATTTCCGCTACCGGTTCTCCAGAACTGGTCAGAACCTGTTGAAACCCACCTCTGCCTCACAAGCTCCGTTTTCATGGGCAGAGTGCTAGCAAAACAAACTACTAGCAAAGTGGCATTTGATCACATGAGTGACATCGAGCTGGCCACACCCACTGTGGCCACACACACACACACACACACGCCCCGAGGTCAAACACAACCCTGATGTATCCTTCAATGAAATCGAGTTTGACACCCCTGGCCTATAGGTCTGGAAGGCCAATAGAGCTGGGGATCTCTAGGTCTCAAGGAAAAGCCTTTTCCATAGGGCAGGCACTGTCACAAAGATGGCTTGGATCCCACTAGATTACCTTGTTTGACAGAACAGATTAAGATGTGCTGTTCCTGATATGTCTGATGGCAGATCATCCTATATTCATATTTAAAAATTATGGTTCAGTGAATAAAAACTCCCCCCCCCCTTTCAAATTCTGAATCTGACTTAAAATGTGCAGTCCAACTCCATGCATTTAGAAGTAAGTCCCACTAAAATATGGGCCTTTCTCAAAGAGAAATGTGCACAGGATTGCAGCTTTCATGTTATGAAATCTGGGGATTAGAGTTTTCTTCCATCATAATTTCTCATCTTGCTTCCTTCATTCTATTGATGTTTCATTTTGAGGATTTGATTGGCCTAATCTTTGGTTTATGATAGAATTACACATTTCCTGTTTTCTGTTTTGCCTTTTCTAATGACATCATTTGAAAATTTTTATTTTAAATTATTCTATTCTATTCTATTCTATTCTATTCTATTCTATTCTATTCTATTCTATTCTATTCTATTCTATTCTCATTTTAATATTTAGTTTTATTGATTACGGTATTGTATACTGTCTACAGCCCCTCTCTGAGCGAGATGGGTGGTTAAGGAATATGAAATATAAATAAATAAATAAATAAATAATTTCACCAAAAAAACTTCACCTTAACTTTTCTTAAGTCGTAATGAGAAAAATAATCCTGTACTGATGATAGTACTCGGGATTTCCATTTGGTTTTTTGAATGATTCTAGGTTCTAATAAAAAGGTTTCCCTATCCATTTAGTCCACTCAATATAAAAATAAGTATACACTATTGCATTCCCTTTCCTCACTTCCCCATTTCCCCCAACTAAAATTCAGCATAGTGCTAGGCAATGGGCACTAGGAACAATGTGAATGATGTTTTTTTTTTAATCAAGGATTTTTTAATCATTTTATAAATTTACTGGGATTATACCTGAATGCCTGGCCTCCTATTTTACTCAGAAAATTCAGTTCAGCTGAAATTCTACAACTTAGTCCTGAACTAAGGACTAAACATCACCACGGTGAAAGTAGTGTGGTACTCATGTGAATGGTACTTATAGTGTCATTGATAAAAGTGATATACTACAGCTCTATCTATTGTTCTCTCTGGGAAAACCATCACTAATTAAAAAAAATGTGCATCAAAAAATGAATGACCAAAGATAGCATGTATCTTTACCCCACCCTTTCATAAAGTAGCAAGAAGAGAGAAGATTAGGAAAGCTAAGCTCCTTAGTATTCCCTGGCATAATAAAATGGCACTGGTATGAATGCAATTGTCTGTCTTGTTCCAGCCAATCCAGATTAACCCTTTGAGTGGTCTTCTTGCTCTTATTGTGCTATGTGTCACTTGTGGCTGCTATCCCTGGACTTGTATCTTCTGTCATATTGCTCAATTAATTATAATTGTCCTGTCTTGAAAGACATAGCCCTAGGCCTATCAGGGGGTGTGGCCCTCAGGGGGTTGCACTTCCAGCCCTAGTTTTATAGATGCTAAGTCAATCAAGAGTTTCAGCTCATCTATATTTAATTATGGTAGCGCACCTTTAAGAAAAGGAAGAGGCATCATTATCGCCAAGCATGCAGGTGTATTCATTGTTTTCCTGGTGCTGCTTTGACACAAAACAATGAATATTTCGTTACTACCACAACATCTTCAGGGATTGTTAAGAAAATGAGAAGAGTTGGACAATGGGCACAGGGACGGCAAGGTGGCCGTTTATGCTTTATCCAAAAAGAGGATAAAAGAAGACAGATTTGTAGGAATCTTACATATGTTAGCTGATGTGTATGAATTCAGATTTAGATTATTCTTCTATAAAGAATAAAAATAATATACCTCACCTTAATGTGGAAGATTGTGATGAAGTAACTACCTATATTTTTCATCTACAATCCTGGTATTGTGTGGCAATTTCAATTCCCATCTTGCCCTCCCTTCTTATTGTTCCTTATCTTAAACTGGACTGAAAAGGGGGAAACAGTTTTTGGAGTAGGAAAAGTTTTCATTTTACTTCTCTAGAGCGGCTCAAACAGCCTGTAATTAACGTGCTGACCCACTCCTTTTTATTACACTGGGTCTATATGTGAGTGTCTCTGTGTGTATTGGGGGAGATTAAAGGGAAGAGCTATCTGTACATCTTTAGCACAGGAAACATTCCTGGATAATTTTCCTAGGGAACCTTTCTACTCTGTTACCATAAATTTGGCTATGCAGATGTATCAATCTATCAATCATCTCAACAGCCCCAAACAGTATGAATTAAAGCTTATTTCATGTCTTATGAGTGGTCTTTCCCCTTCATTACTATTCAACAGCAGTTGTATCACAGATCTCTGCTGATGAATTATGAGAAAATGATTTGCCAGTATCTCTGGATGTGGTGCTAATGAGACTATCACAAGACAAATGACAACTTCTATGCAGAAAAAAAATGGTGGAAGAGATTTGTGGTGAAAATATGACCAATAACTTCTTTCAAAATTCAAAATAGCAATCTCCCTATGTCCACCCCAGAATTGTTTCTCATTTTAGGTTTCCATCAATAACAGAATGACCAAGTTGGAAAGGACCTTAGATATCTTCTAGTCCAAGCAGGAGACTCTATACCAGTGATGGTTAACCTTTTTTGCCATCGCATACCAGGAGAGGGGGGGGCAGGGGAGGGTCGCGCGCGTACGTGCCCACGCGCATGCGCGCACAACCTCCCCCGCTCCTGGCACATGATGGCCTGGTAGGCCCATTTTTCTTTCTTACCTGGTTCCAGATCCTCTCTATTTATCTCTATTTCCTGACTCCCAGTGGGACAGGAAGTAACATTTTTTGCTGTCACCAGCCTCCAGAACCTCTCTAGGAGTCTCTAGGAGCCTCTCTAGGAGTCTCTGGAGGCTGGGGAACAGCAAAAAAATGTCACTTCCTGTCCCACCAGGAGTCGGGAAATGGGCCCTTTCAGCCTCCGTAGGGCCTCCAAAGGAGTGGGAAAGGCTGTTTTTGCCCTTCCCAGATAAATAGAGAGGATCTGGAGACAGGTAAGAAAGATAAGCGGGCCTTCCCCCACCCCAGGCCCTCCAGAGGCAGGAAACAGCCTGTTTCCCTACTTCTGGTGGGCCCAGAAGGCCCAAAAATCAGCTGGCTGGCGCGCGCATGCATCCCAGAGCTGAGCTGGTGGGCCCACTAATATGGCTCTGCATGCCACCTGTGGCACGTGTGGCATAGGTTTGCCATCACAGCTCTATACTTTTCAAATGGCTTTAATTCAAATGGCTTTAATTCAAATCCAAACTTCCCCATTTGCTTTAATCTTTGCTTTAGGTGACATCCTGTGGTAATCTGGAAATCACTACAAAACATATATATAGTAGACATCATTACTATCTGTTGATTAACTCTGAAATGGGAACTCTGAAATGGGAAGGGCATTATAAAGGAGAGAACCCAGCTTTACTTCAAATTTCACTGAAAGAAAAATGTTAGTGGCACCTATTCTCAAACACACTATGTGTGGTGACAGTATATAAAACGTTGCTATAGTAGTGATAAACAATACGGCACAATTCATATATTTAAGAATTCAGTTCAAGGTTGACTCAGCCTTCCATCCTTCCGAGGTTGGTAAAATCAGGACCCAGATTGTTGTGGGCAATATGCTGACTCTGTAAACAGCTTAGAGAGGGCTGTAAAGCACCGTGAAGTATATAAATCTAAATGCTATTGCTAGTCTGATAACAAAACATTCAGAAACTAACTCACAAGCTCAGAGAACAAACCTTCATTCTCATCCTACACTCAAGCTACAGATATTCACCATTACTGCATAGTTTGCAAGGTTAGAAAAAAATAGAGATGTATAGGAAATGCTGTTGGTGTAAACCAAATATAGGATATCCAAATATATCCCAGTTATCTTACTTGCTTGTTTAAAATTCCATGCAATTGTGTGCAGTTCTCAGAGATTGTCTGGATAAATCCCTACAGTTTTTCTTTTGGTTTGTCATTGTCTTTTTCCTAGGCTTGAGAGCTGGTCTAACTGGCTTTATGCCCTAAAGTGCTAGAACCAGGGGTGAAATCTACTTATCTTCCTTACCAGTTTGTCACATGTGTGCGCAGACCCTCTGCTCATGCACAGAGGGTAAAAAACACATTACTTCCTGGTTAAAACCAGGAAGTAATGACACCTGGGTGGGTGGGCGGAGCCTCGTGCCACCATCGCTACCGGTTCTCCGTACCACTTGCCACAATCACTACCGGATCACCCAATCCGGTCCGAACTGGGAGCATTTCACCCCTGACTAGAACTCATAGTTCTTGATACTTTCACTACTACATTAAACTGGCTTAATTATATTTTAAAATATTTATGTTAGCGTTTGTTTCTCTGCCTTTTGCCTTTAATTGTATTTTCCTACTAATCCTTACTTATTTTCTGCCCTTTGGATAACATTGCTCACCCCAAAAGCGAGCAGCATGATGGATGTATGAGATAGAAATGATGTATGGATGGGCACAAACAAAAGCAAAAAGTACATTGGCTTTAGCTAGAATTGTGTTTTTGTCCAAGCATATAGATATTCTACAACTTTTATACCAGTAGGCTCTTAGGTAGTTTTATTGTGCAGGGTGACTGTCATTAAACAAGATTGCTTTATATAGCTACCATGCCTAGAGACAATGTAGGTTTCTGAATACCAGTTGCAGAAGGAAATTCTAAGATGGAATGTTTTTGCTTCAAACGATTATCAGGTTGATCATTGCAGGCAGGATGGTGGATTAAATTATACTTTGATTCGGCAAGCAACTTCATAACAATGTAAGTGAATCTGAAGAGTAGATCTGTGTTTACAAGTACAGAATGGGAATACATCATTAACACAGAGGAAGGAACATACGCACACACACACACACACACACACACACAGACACACACACAAACAGAAGAATTTGTGAACATATGTTTTGACCACTGACAGGCAATGGACATGTACCTCAAAAAGATTTTCTCATGGTGTTCTGAAGCTGTGACATGAGTAGCTGAAAAAAAGTGGAAGCTATGTGGCTCAACGAAGCCAAGGAAGATTTGGTGATGAAGGAAACATCTGCCCAAGGAAACAGATGGGCCCAGAAAAGGCCTCAGGGTGAAGCAAGGAGGAGGGAAGCCTGTGGTTAAGAGGAAACCAGAATGGAGAAAGTGGTCAAACAGAGACATCAAAGCTGGTTGCTACATTGTTTTGAAATTTGTTTCACTGCCTCTCGGATGTATACATGAGTGCTCTCAAGTTAACCAAAGAGTTCCCATTTTATATTTGCTTCTTTGTTGTCTGCAAAGTTATATAACATATTTGAAACTGACCTTTCATTAAAAACCTGAGGGACATTGGTCACAGAATTATTACATATCTATCTGTCCATCCATCCATTTGCAAAAATATTTGTAATCCAATACATATGGAACACAGCAGATAAAAATATATATTTAACACGGTTTAATGTTTCATTTAATATTTAGCTAACTTCTGAGTCTTTATTTAGCCACTTCTCTGCTGATTGTTGCATTCTATGTACCCATTTATATATTTGAAAATAGCAAACTAGCTACGATTACAAAAATGCTTATTAATGTTTGTAATGGGTATCTAGTTCTACCTTAGGCATAAAACCTGGCAGGGTGACTTTGAGCAAGCCGCTTTCTCTCAGCCTAGTTTATCTCACAGGGTTATTGTTGAGGGGAAAATAGGAGGACGAAAGAGTATTAGATATGTTTGCTGCTTTGAGTTACTTAAAAAAAATAAGGTGAGATATATATATATAAATACAGTAAAAATGATAAAACTCCTAGATTGTAGTTTCCTTACTTCCTAAGCTATATTTAAAAATATTTAGATTAACATTTGAAAAATATTATTATTTCATGGAGCTGACTATCCAAGCATCTAATATTGCTGGTCAGTCAAGCATGTTTTCTAAAAAAAAAAAAAAAAAAAAAAAAAAATAGAAACAAAATATATGTATTTTAGGATAACTCCCACCATCTATAGATGTTAAAAAGAAACAAAGAGAACATGAAATCCTGATGCAGTCCCACAAAGCAGGAGTCTGGTCCTCTCACTCAACAGCAAAAGTGATTGAGACCAGTCCTGGAAGAAGGAGGAGAACCAACACAAAACTGTGCCCCACCACACTCTTAGCTCTTAAAGCTGTTCCAAAAGGATACTATAGTTGATAATACTGAAATCCATTGAAAGGTTAAGAGGAGGCAGAAAAGATGCATGACCCCATTCAGCTCCCCCCCAGAGGAAAGAAAAAGCATAACCAATGCTTTTTCTGTCACATATCACATATCCAGGTTTGAAACTTGACTGGAAATCCATCCAGATAATTCATCTCATCCAAGATCCTCTGGATCTGTTACCACCTTTTCAACCACCTTAATGGGAGGTGGGAGACTAGATTAAAATAATCCAGAATAGTAAAATGCAGTGACTACTTCTTGAGGAGAGGGTACATCAGAACCTCCTTAAAAGGTACTGGAAACACCCTATCTCTCAAAGATGAATTAACCATCACTAGGCTCCAGCCACATGTTAACTCCCAAGTGGCCTTGATCAACCAGAAGAGGTACAGATCTTAGACATAGATAGCTGCATTTACATTTTGGAGGATCTTGTCCACTTGCCAAAAGGATCAAACTGTTCACAGATAGCTGTGTAAGTCTGTTCCACAGAGATCTCCAAAGGACCTGCCCCATGCTTGCTCCAACTAAGAATGGATCTGAGTGATTTTATCTCTAAGGTGCACTGGAAGTTTCTCAACACAGCTCTGTAGGTAAATCTCAGAGTCCCCTTTATCCAGAAGGGATTGAGAAACCCTAAACTGGATCACTGGGCAATACTCTGTAAATGCAATAAGAGCAGAGAAATATTGGCGGTTCACTGCTCTTACCACCATGAGCTATTGCTTAATAGTGGCTCTAACTCATTATCAATTTGATTCATCCCTCATCTTCCTCCAGCAATGCATCTCTTAACCCCTTCCAGCTCCCTCAGGCCCTCCTTAAACAACAGGAAGTTCTGAGAGCAATGGGCCAAGAGAAGTTGCAAGGGCACGACCCTATCCAACACCTCTGCTACCTCTCTATTCCAATCAGTGGCCAAGATCTTAGCTGGATTATGCAATAGTACCCTAGGTAAAAACCCCAGGTCCTTTTGAAACCATAGTGGATCTACCAGTTGCTTGGGGCAGATCAATTAAACATGTATTTTCTCCCTGTGGAAAGGGATAGCATAAGACAATCTCAAGGTCATCAGGGTGATCTGACCATGACAAAGAGGCCAGAGAAAGCTCCCCCCCCTCAGATCATACTGTCATTGATCTGGCCAGATAAATATATCTGGTGTGTGACCAGTGTTTTGAGTTGAATGACCTAGAATAGGCTAAAGCCTCCCCAGGCTTCTGAGGTGAGCCACAGGGATATCAAACTGAATCCCCCAAGACCATAAACCTGGGGAACTCCATAACTAGCCACAGAACCTCAGGAAGGGAGATTGCTATACAGGAGGGAGGTTATGCAGTAGCAATTAATCCTGCAAACCTAACTTCAGAAACAGGGTCTCACAATGGGCAACTTGTAGAACAATGTTGCTGAAGGTTAACAGAAACTCTTGAATGATAACTCCCTAGCTCTGTAGTCTGAAATCTCACCAGGCAAATTTCAGAGAGGGGAATCCCCCCTTCCAGGTCCAGTCAGATTTTGGTAATATTTGCAGCTATCCGGCTAATAAGTTTGTAAAGGGCGGGGGGCTTTATAATTGACATTGAGCAGCAACA